CCGCCGCCGCCCCCGAGGCCGCTGCCAAGGGCCCCGGCCGGGACTGGGCCGCCTGGGACCGCGGGGCTGGTGCCCTGGACGACACCGACAGCATGCCTGATCCCGCGCTCTTCCTCTACGCCCGGAGGCCCCCGCGGCCTGGTGGCTGCGGCCCGCGCCAGCAGCCTCCCCCGGACCAAGTCGACCTGCAGCCAGCGCCCTGCCCGAACCGTCCTGCAGCGCCCAGCACCCCGGGTGCGCCTGGGGTCCCGGAATAGGCGAGAAGCTGGCGAGGTGGGAGAGGGGGAAGGCCCGACCCCAGCGGGGGTGCAGCTCGGGCAGCGCGCAGGCTGGTCGGGGGTGCTGGGAGAACCGGCCCTCCTTCAGGGAGCAGGGGGAGGCGGCCCAGGCTCCCCCACCCTTTCAACCGCCCCCGCCTTTTGTATTTCCCAATGTTAACGAAGCTTTGAGCTCTCCCCTCCCGCCAGGGAGCTCCTTCGCGGGGCTGAGCGAGTGCACTTTTTTTTGTGGAAAGGACTAGAAGTACAGATTCCTATCTCATCCCCACCTGCCACTGGGAGGGGAGTCACGCCCCGCCCCGGGAAAGCTGACAATCGTTTGACGCTAACGGGGAGGCTGGAATGGCCTAAGGAAGGAACACCACGGAGTGGCACTTAACAGCTCTGGGCCTTCCAGCAATCCCCTCCCGCCTCCCCGAGTCCCGCAGGGCTGCCCTTCCCACCAAGCCTTCCTCCTAGGAGAGGCGGGCTGAAGGCTGGACCTGTTCCTCTGAAGTCATTTCCTCCCAGTCCCTGTGCTCCCCCACCCCCATAAGTCCTTACAGATGAGCACCCAACACTTTAGAAGACACCGCCTCCCAGAACCCCTGGCGAGGGAAGTGTACCTAATGGAAGTTTGAACTTCTGGAAGGTAGCACCCATAGACCCTTACAGAATGGATTGGATGGCAGAACAGGTCCAGAGCTCTCTCCAGCTCATTTCTTACCCAGGAAGCCAGCCTAGGTTTTTGGACTAGGAGCTGTGCTGGGGAGTGAGGTGGGCCTCCCCCCCCCTGCCCCACTAGGCTCCTGGAAGGGCAGAAACTGCCTTCAGGAGGTAGCTGGGAATCTGAAGGCTGCCCTGGGAGTTTCCCTAGTCCTGTTTATTGGTGCTAATTTTGTTCAGTTTCCTAATTAGCTGGTTATACCCAGAGGTTGGAGGAAATCTCCCCCTCTTGGAAAAGGCAGTTATGGATAGAGATTTGAGTTTACTGGGGGCCTGGGGGAAAGGGCACAGGTTAGGCCACAGTTTGGCCCCCTCCAGGGATGCCCCAGCCCTATGACAGTGCCGGGATGCTCAGTACCCTTCTGTGAAGGCTGGGGAGTGGCAAGATGGAAAGTGGCATGGCCCACCTCTGACTGCGTTTCTCCCCTGCTCCCCTTTCACTACCAAAGGACAGTTCCAGTCCAGCTTGTTACCCCTCCCCAAGACCAGCTAGAAAGAAATCCCTCTAGAGTGCTCTTCCTCTCCCCACCCTATGCCAACCCTCCTCTGTGGGTCCTGCATCCAGTCCTAAGTGCCTGTGAGGTCTTCCAGGGGTTGACATGAGAACATGCGGTAGGAAGAGGCCTTTACCTTAACACCCCCTCCCCTTTGGCATGTCCTGAGCTTGCTGAGGCCAAGCATTCCGTGGGTCACCTGGGGATTTGGAAAGTGAACAGAGTCAGTCTCTAGAAGTAATGAGCCCTTCTCACATCATGGCTCCCATGAAGAAGAGGTAGGGAATCCCCATTCGTATCCTCTTTTGCTGTACATGTTAGGGACAGCAGGCGCGGAAGGAGAAACCAGTGTACACACCCCCAGCCCACTCAGACATGCGGTCCCATCCCAGCTGACCACACTCAGACCGCCGAGACCACGAGCAATAACCAGGCCTGGCTGGGGGGATCTAGCCTCTAGGAGCAGATGGCCAAAAGTGTGGGCAGCCTGGGGACATCAGCCCTCTCCAGTTGAAGTTTGACCAAGAGGTGGCCTAGGGCCCCTGCTTTGTCTGCCCCGCTTCCCAGCCTCCCCATTCCTGTGACTGGACCTCTGCCATCTGTGTCTCCCCTGAAGTGTAACTCACTCTACCCTCATCGTCTTCTCTTCCATGATGTGTCTGTGCAAGGAGACAAGAGAGGAGACAAGGCCTGTCTTCTCTCCTTTGGCTGCAATCACTTGAAGGGGCCCAGAGGACTGTGAGGAGGATGGAAGGAGGAGTCTGCTCAGACCCTCATCTTCCACAACCACACTTTTGGAGTGAACAGGGTGACTTTGTTGTGTCAGTTCTTCTACAGAGACGGTAAAGTTCTTTATCCACCTACCCACCCACTAAAAGCCATAGTGATGGCCACCTGGCCTTCCCCCCAGCTCTATAGCAATAGCCTTCTTCCCCACCCTCATCCTGGGGTACCCAGGGTGTCAGGCTAGGACCCTAACCATATCCCTACTCCAGGGTCCTCCTGTAGCCTGCCTGCCTTTCCCCAAGTGACCCCATCAGCAGTTCCCAATGCCTGTCCCTCTTCCAGCATCTAGAGATAATGACACTTAATTGTTTGTGGGGTGCTTGGAGATCCCCCAGATGAAAGGTTCTAAGTGCTGGGGTGGCTGACTCATTGACTCTCAGCTGAGGTGTTGGGGGGTGGCTGGGAAAGGAAATAAGACAACCCTCCCCCTCTACTCAGCAGCCGAGGGGGTGGGGAGGTAGGCCTGAGGGACATACAAGTTACCAATCTTAACAGAAACCCCCCTTCCTATCCCTCTCCTGGAAATAATGGACCAGAGATTTCCCTCTACCTAAGTGCTCCCAGGTTAGGAACAGTGCAGCAGAAAGAAACTGGGAGACAGTGACCACCCTTGGCCTCAGCAGCCTAAAACGTCTCAGCCTAAGGGCCTGTGAGAGGCCCACCCTCAGCTTCCGGTCTTCCTCTTCCCTAGCCTGGGGGACCCAGACTGCTAAAGGAAAGCTCATCCTCCCCTGGAACACCTGGTTGACTAGAAGGGAAGGGATTGCTTCTCCTCCCAACTTGTCCCCTTTTATTGGCTACAAGAATTGCTATTGGGGGTGGGGCATGTTAACATGGACACTTAGGGGCCATGTTTGGTGCCCCAGTTACACCCCAAAGGGCTGAAGGACACTGCAGGTGTGGGGTGGGGTGGGGGGGGCTCTGTTCTGAAAGCCAGCCAGGGACCAGCAGTGATGCAGCGAGGGGCTCTGTCCCCATGCTTTTCGTCCCCATATCCCACACACACAGTGGCCTGTAGTTTGGGAGATTCCACTAGGACTGAAAAGGGGTAGTCCTTCCCCCAAATAAGAAGCAGTCTAGAGATCTCCCAGTGGAGAGGAAGGATACAGGAGGGGGTGGGACAGCCTCTTCTCAGTGCAGAGCACGCAAGATCTCTAAGCACCCACTGGCTGAGGCGCCAGCCTTGAATGGGGGGCATGCAGGGCTTCAGAACCACCTGGCAGGAGCCCCATGGACAGGACAGAAAGATCCTGCTCCAAATTCTCTGTTGGCTGCGCTTTTTAATCCAATGCTTTTCAGAGTGTATTCTCTCACCCACGGATATAGAGCCCTGTGCTTTAGGGGTGACTGTCATATGCCTTATTCTTAATAAAATACCTGAAAAATACACCAGTCACTCCTCTTCTTTCTGGGCCCTTTGCCCACTCCACCCCTGCCACAGACAGTTGAAGAAGGTATGGAGGGGATAGGGAGTGGTTTAGGAATCAACGGGAGGGTTGGGTGACACTGGGAACCTAGACTCTGGAGTCCCCTCCTAGATAGTCCTTGTTTTGCCCCAACTTCTGTGACTGGCAGCAAGAAAGGAAGGCGGCGGGAAGCAGAAAGGCTGAGCAAGCAGAGTTTATTGCTCCCAGACAGCAGCTGAGATGGAGCCCCTAGAGTGGGGTTTAGAACCCCTAGAGTGGGGTCCACAACTACTGCCAACTCAATAAGGGAGGAAGGGTCTCTTATGTAGAGTCTAGGTTCACATTCCAAAGGGGTGACTCATCGCTGTGCTCCCTGATGCTAGGCCCAATTAATTATCAAACTTGGATGTGAGACCCAGTTCCTTATCACCTTCAGCTAATCCCATCCTGGATGCAAGGTCAGTTTATTACCACTTTATCAAGCTTGGATGCAAGGCTCAATTCTTTACCGCCCTAATTCAGTCCTTGTCAGTAAATCTTTGGTCACTCCCAGCAGTCCTCACTTAAGGCATAATAAGGCACTCACTCACAGAGATCTTTCGACACTCAAACTAGCCCTGTTTCCAGACCACCCAATCCAAATGGACAAATGAGGCCTGGCATCAGAGCTGGCTAAGTTGGACAGTATACATTAGAAGAGCTCCAAAGGCTGGAGTAACCCTTTGTCCTGGCCTAGGAGAAATTCTGGGCTTCTGGCATTTTTGTCTATTCTGACAAAATGGACACTCACTGCCATCCGGTCCGGCAAGAAGCCCAGAATCCAAAAGAGAAGCCCTGTTCTTCTCTGCTAGTGTGTATTATCCTGGGTCTGCAACTTAGACATCCAGCACCCACAAGATTTCAAGCCTGTACATTTTCAATGTAGAACCAAGTGGTGGATAATTCAGAGAAAAAACAGCAGTTCTGCATTCTAAGGATGCAGGGATATGCTAGTTTAGCCTGCAAGTCTTCTGATAATAAGACTCATCGCTTCATTTTGAGGAACTTCCTTTCTCCCATCTCAACCCAGGTGTTGGGGGATTGAGCCAGATAAGGTGTGTCATATCAATTGGGTTGGGAATGGACATGGCGTTCAGTCTAAGCCAATGTGAGTCAATCTCAGGACTTTTGCCGGTACCATTCACTCAACATATCAGTCAGATGCTAAAGACAGCAGCAGCGCCTCCCCGGTGGCACAGGGGTTAAAGTCAGCAACGTCAAGCTGTCTGCAGCCACTAGAGCATGGGTTTGATTCCCCGGCCAGGGGCTGACCCACATGGCGCAGCAGACCTCTCCTGCCCCACCCACTGCTCCCCTCAGCAGTGTATTGCAGTGAATCCACCTGTCCTGCTCCCCACTCTGCCTCTGTTGAAGCCCCTTACCCCTACCCCCCCCACACCTGAGGCCTGTACCCCAGTTCTTATATACGTAAATGAATGTGAAAAAGATACAGCAGCAAACTAAATAGGATTTGTGTGTGTGTGTAGAAACCCTGGGTGTAGGCTAGAGGTGTGGAGACAAAGTGGGGAGCAGAACAGGCTGATCGACT